GGAAGCTTCAGAGACCAGAAGTTCACGGAGCTTCTGGAATGTTTGTTTCATAAGCATAAAACAGTGAAAATCTTAAAAAGAAAAAAAAAAAAGAAAGAAAGAGTGGTGGTGGGGAGGAGGCAGAGTTGTGGCACAGTGGGTTCAGCACTTGCCTACAGCACAGTCATCTCGTATCACAGCCCTGATTTGTTCTGACCCAGCTCCTGTTCCCGGTCTGGAAAAGCAATGGAGGATGACCTAGAGCCTGAAGCTGGGGGCCTCGGTGCAATGGCAAGGCCTCTCTCCCTTTTTTCTTTAGAACTTGTTTGTTCAAGAGCAACTTTAAGAAGAAGGAGAGAGAGAGTGGGAGAAACAGAGTTCTTACGTTCGTTGGACCACTTCCCAATTGGCTGCAATGGCCAAGAGCCAGAAGCCAGAAGCCAGAAGCTTCGTCCAGATCTCCCACTTGGGTGCGGGGACCCAAGCACTTGGGCTGTACTCTGCTGCTTTCCCAAATGCATTATCAAGAAGCTGGACTGAGGTCCCAGCACGGTAGCCTAGTGGCTAAAGGCTTCACCTTGCACAGCTGGGATCCCATGTGGGTGCCGGTTCAGATCGCTGTGGCCCTGCTTCTCATCCAGCTCCCTGCTTGTGGCCTGGGAAAGCAGTCGAGGATGACCCAAGGCCTTGGGATCCTGTGCCCACGTGGGAGACCGAGAAGCTCCTGGCTTTGGTTTGATCAGCTCCAGCCACTGCGGCCACTTGGGGAGTAAACTCAGTAGATGGAAGATCTTTGTCTCTCCTCCTCTCTGTATATCTGACTTTCTGATAAACATAAATAAATCTTTGAAAAAGAAGAAATTGGATTGGAAGCTGAGCAGTAGAGACTGGTGTCCACATGGGATGTCTGCACTGCGGGCAGAGGCTTAACTTGCTGTGCCTCAGTGCTAGCCCCAAGGTCTTTGTCATGGAGGAAGTCTTGGCCCATGGCTCGCTGTCTTCTGTTTGGGACCCTGGCTGCATCCCTTCTTTCTCTGGGGCTCAGCTTCTCTGTGTGACTGATGTAAAGGTTGGACGAGAGGGTTTCTATCATGCCAGCAAATGTCCTCACCAGGGAGGATGCCGTGGGCAGCTCCCCGGGGCGTTCCTGGTGAAAGCTGGCACTGCAGGCTGGCAGGCAGGGCCCATGTCCTCTGGTGGCGCCTCCTCCTCAAACAAATTGAATTTGTGTTTGAGAGTTTCAGTGGACAAACAGACTGCCCTTTTCAGAGTTCAGATTGCTTTTGGAGACGCTTGGATCAGATTAGCAGAAAGGGAGGGAGGCTCGTGGAGCTGCGGGCATGGCCTCTGCCTCGACAGATTAGCGTCTCTGCTTGCCTGCCTGCCTGCCAGGAGCTGGCAGGAATCGCCCTGGTCACCCAGCCAGAGCATTGCAGGCTGGCCCCCTGGTCCAGCCTGAAGCACCCGGGCCCCATCCATGCTGGCTGCGACAGAGCCCTGTGTCCCCAGCACACAGGGATTCACTCCGAGGTCCTGCCAGGAGGCTCCCTGGAGGCCATGAGCAGCATGGGCTGTCTGCTGCTCTGCCTGTTGCCCTGCATGTGGAACAGAGCACATCTTTGAGGACTGCTGCTGGGGACCCAGGAAGCTGGGCAGACAGAGGCCCACAGAGCAAGTCAAAATGTGCTCTTTCTGTTCCCAAGTTTTTATTCTTTTGTTTTCACTTATTTGAAAGGCATCTATTTGACAGTTTTCTATCAGCTGATTCACTCCCCAAGTGTCTGCTGCAGCCAGGCTCCCAGTGAATGCATTTGCAGGAAGTGGACGAGCCAGGACTCAAACCCAGCACTCCCATACAGGCTGCAGGGGTTCCCAGGCAGCGTCTTCAGCATCGTGCTGGGTGCCCACCTGTTTTTGTTATGTTACTCATGTGTTTGCGGTGCCTGTTCAGGCTGTTGTACCTAGAGGGAACTAGGCAGATATGAAGCTGCCTTTGCTTTTTTGTTTGTTACAGCCTAGCACTTGGTGATAGGGTGGCCAGACACCCACCAAAACAGTGGAAAGAATAGTGAGGGGCGAAGCCACCATCTACAATGGCGGCAGTTGGTTTGAGTCCCGGATGCCCCATTTCCAGTCCTGCACACTGCTGATTCTCCTGGGAAAGCAGTGGAAGATGCATGGGCCTGCTCTCCCCATGGAAGAAGCTCCTGACTTCAGCCTGGCCACCGCTGGCCATGGCAGTCATCTGGGCAGTGAAGCAGTGGATGGAAAATCTCTCTGTTTCCCGGCCTCTTTTTCTCTGTAACTCTGGTTTGCAAATAAAGGTGCATCATTAAAAATACCCCCCCCCCCCCACTCAGATAGGAGATGGTTCTCGTGGTGGAGTCTCAGTGCTGTGAGTGCAGGAGCTAGAGTGTGGGCAAGATGGGCTGTGCAGTCAGGGGGCAGGGCAGACCTGGGGGTGGGATGAGTCACATGGATACCTGGGGGATTCTGGGCAGGCTGCATGCTTGTGGTGCAGCAGCTGGGGACAGGGAGGGAGCCACTGCATGTCCCTGTGGGAGGGATGGAGTTATGTATCCAGGGGGAACCAACGAGAAGACAGGTGACATGGGCTGGGCCGGCCCGAAATAGGGGACATGTCTAGCGGGGGTGGCTACCAGAGTTGTCCATGGGCCTGCTGCTAGACGAAACCACCCAGGAAGTATGTGTTGATAGGGACCTGAGCTCTGGCAGCCCAGGCCTGGGGAACCACGCTGGCCTTATGCAGTCCTGGAAATGGCTCTGAGGCTGGGTAGAGTTGGGGACTTGGTTTGGTGACCAATGTGGAGGTCACATGAGTGCAAGCACATTTGGGGACTGAGTGTCCTGTCCTGAGGCAGCGCCCACTGGGGTGGGGGCGGTGACCAGGCTCAAGGCCTGCGACAAGAGCTGAGTGTCCCTGGGGTCCCTGCTGGGCTGTTCCCATGCGGTAGTCTCCCCTGCCATGTACTAGGAGGTGATACATCTGTTGGAGAGACTTCCGGGAGAGCCCACCGCTTCTGTGCTCAGAAGCAGGATGGAGGCCTAAAGGGGGGCGAGAGGAAGAAGCTGGGAGCAGCAGGCAGAGCTGCAGGACAGAACGGTGGCTCGGAAGCTTCCAGAAAGCAGTGGAAGACATGTGCAAAAATGTGGCGCTGCTGCAGTGGGGGTTGGGGGACATGCTTGCCCCCCACCAGGAAGGAGAAGCCTCAGGGTGGGTGAATTTCTCTACCTGGTCCTGCTCAGTTTCCTAGTGTCCAGGCTTGGTCCGAGTCACTGCACTGCTGGGTCAGTGAGTGCCCTGTTGCCCTCCTGCCTCCCTGCAGTGACACCTAGCTAGCACAGCATTGCCTGTGACCTTCCCGAAAGCCTTGGTGTCTGCTGATGGAGCTCCAGTCCCAGCTGTGCCAGGAGGGGCTGTGTGCTGTCAGAGAAGCAGCTCACCCTCTCTGGGTCCCTCTTGGCTCTTCCATGGAGGCACCAGCACTGGGTTCTGGAGTGGCTGGGCTGGGCTGTGGTGGCGCCTTCTCCTGCCGGGAACCCAGGCCTGGAGGAGTGCCCGTTCCCCTGGTTCCCAGGGGTGGAGTTGTATGTTGTTTCCCACCCCATGCCCCACCCCGCAGCACATGGGCACTGCCCTACCCAGCCTACAGACACAGCAGGAACAATGTTATCGTGGCTGCCAGGCGCTGTGGGCACTGTCCTTGGTTGGGCAGCCTTGGCTCCTGTGGAAGTGCTGAATGTGTTCAGGTGTGGACAGACTGATGGGCAGCTGAGCGGGCACAGCCCACGGAGTGTGCCCCCGACAAAGGGGTGCACACCATGGCTCTGCATCCGGGAGTGGTGGGGAGCCCGGCCTCTGGCTGTGTGGGCTCCAGCCAGCTGTGGGAACCTAGAGAGGTGTGGAAAGGAAAGCTGCGGGGCTCTCAGATTCCAGGTGTCCAGGGTCTGAGGGTGGGCCCTTGGTGAAGTTACGGCCACTGCGTTGGGGATTGTCACTTGCTTTCTGTGACAGTGACCAGTGCTGAGCGCACAGAGCATAAAGGCTCTTCTGGAGTAGCTAAGAGTCTCCCATGGGTGCGGGGCGTCCATCCTGGACCAGCCCACACAGCATTCCCAGGGCTTCCCAGTGAATGCCTCCCCATCCTCAGTGAGGGGTGGGGCCGCATGTCCCTATGGGTATCGCCTGGCTGGGCAGGGCAGGGCAAACGCAAGGCACAAAGATGCCCTGGCCAGAGAACCCTGGACCAGCTGCAGGGGTCATTTCCAAGGTGCTTTGGAGGGGCCGGGACCAGCACACCATCCCTGCAGCCGACCTAGCTGTAGGGTTCACGGCTTAAATTCACTCCACGGAGGGGGCTCATCTTCCAAGGGTTGGGGCTGAAGGAGCTCCAAGCTCCAGTGCCAAAGGCTTAGGGAAAAGGTCATTTAAAAATCCACAGGTGTTCCTTGGGGGGCTAAGCGGGTGTGGCAACAGCAGTGGCCCCAGGGCCCCCTTGGATGGGAACACTGCCTTTTAGTCCCAGGCTTGGAGCAGACTGGGTACCCAGGACCTCTGAGTTCCCCCCCATCTTCCCCTTATTGGGGAGGTCCCTGGATCCTTTTTCTGTGAGCACCCTCCTCCCAGTCCCTATAGCCTGTGTACTGAGCATGCTCATTGCAGCACAGCTGCCAGGCACTTGGCCCTGAAAGTTGGGTAGACAAGGGTGTGAATTCCAACCCTGCAAAACAGGTGCCACATCTCCTAGGGCTGGGCAAGGGTCCCAGCCACCAGGAGCATCCCCAGAGCCAGTGGCTCTGGGTAGGAGCAACTAGAACTCTGCCAAGTGGGGGGCTGGGGGCAGGGTGCAGCTCGGATGGACACCCTGCATTTCCCTCTGTTGTATTCAAATCGGGTCCCACTGGGGGCCCGCTCTGGGAGGAGCCTGAGCTTGGTCCTGCAGCTCCCTGTGCCTGGGCCACTGCAAAGGTCACCGCCACCCTGGCTGGACGTCTGGACCATGGACAGCTTGACCGGGGAAGGCAACAGTAAGTAGAGCCATGGAGAGGGCGTGGATGGCCACCTGGGAGACACATGGCCCCAAGCCTGCTGGCTATAGCATCCTTCCTTCCTCCCTCTGGGAAGCGGGAAGGGAGCCTGCTTTCTGCCTGCAGCCCATTTTCCCTCCCGCGGCTCTCTGCCCACAGTGGCTCTGTCCGATCCTTTTCTTCTCCTCCCTGTATGTGCTGCAGGGATGCCCCTGCCCACCACCCAGGGCCATGTGTGAGCGTGAGTGTCAGGGCGAGGGGCTCATTCACGTCTTGATGAATTCGCCCACAGAAGATCCTGTGGAGGCCTTGCTCCTGCAGCTGCTGTAGCAGACAGCCTGCACTCATTCCTGCACCCGTGCCCTTATCAGCCCAGAAGCACAATGGGCTCCAAGCACTATTTAAAACTATGGAGGAGGAAGTGGCATTTTAGGAAGAAATGTGTTGCGTTCAAAACAGGAAGCTCTTCGTCCTGGGCCTGGAATGGGCAGTGGCGTGGCATGGAAAGGCCATCAAGCCAGGACTGGGGAGGCTTGGGTTCGAGTCCCAGCTGTGACTGGGCCCAGAGGGTCTCAGTCCAAACTCATAGCTGCCCTCAGCCTCGGTTTCCCTGTGTGTCTAAACAGTGGTGGGGTCAGGCACTCCTGATTTGTGGGTGATATGTCAGGTGGGTGGGGGTCTGCACTTTATCCGAGTGCCGAGAAAGGTCCATGACCCTAAGGCAGCCTCATTGTCACCAGGCGTGGTGGCCTGGAAGTGCTCTGAGGGCTTGGGACCCTCCAAAATCTTTAATGTGAGGGACTCGAGGCTCTGAGTGTCCTAGGCTGAGGCTCGCCCCGCAGGTTGTACTGTCTGTCTGAGAGGGGCTTCTCCTGTCTGGGGAGAACGTATCTGTCTTAACACCCTCTGCTAACATTCCCCTGATGACTTCTTTAAAATTTTAGACGTTTAAGAATTTTATTGGAAAGGCAGATTTATAGAGAGAAGGAGAAACAGAAAATAAAATTCTCTCTCTGGTTCACTCCCCAGATGGCCACAATAGCCAGAGCTGAGCCAGGCTAAAGCCAGGAGCCAGGAGCTTCTTCCAGGGCTCTCACATGGGTGCAGACACCCAAGATGTAGCCATCCTCTGCTGCTTTCCCAGGTCACAAGCAAGGAGTGGGATCAGAAGTGGGACAGCCTGGGCACAAGCTGGTGCCCACATGAGATGCCAGCACTGTAGGAGGAAGATTAGTGGCTGGATAGGATCTGGATTCCCCATCCAGCTCTGCCTTCTCACCTTGCTTTAGTCTCTCAGCCCCTCAGTTCTATTTTTTTTTTTTTTTGTAAGAACTTGGGGATGGGGCCTGGCGCGGTGGCGCAAGTGGTTAAAGGTCCTCGCCTTGCACGCCCGGGATCCCATATGGGCGCCGGTTCTAATCCCGGCAGCCCCGCTTCCCTTCCAGCTCCCTGCTTGTGGCCTGGGAAAGCAGTCGAGGACGGCCCAAAAGCTTTGGGAACCTGCACCCGCGTGGGAGACCCGGAAGAGGCTCCTGGCTTCGGATTGGCATAGTATCGACCCGTTGCGCTCACTTGGGGAGTGAATCATCGGACGGAAGATCTTCCTCTCTGTCTCTCCTCTCTGTATATCCGCCTTTCCAATAAAAAAAATAATAAAAATAAATCTTTAAAAAAAAAAAAAAAAGAACTTGGGGATGGTGCCATCTTGTAAAGGTTGGTACAGGATTCACCAGCTCTCAGGTGTCCGGGCCATCCCCCCAGCCTGACCAGGTGATGTCCCCCAGCCTGGATGCCAAAGGCCATTGGCATAGAGTGTGGTGCCCTGCAGGACTCCTGCTTTGACCTTGGCATAACTGGCGAGACAGCTGACCTGTCCCCTTGCAGTGCCCACCACGCTGTGTCTGTCCCGGGGCTCCCTGCAACACTCAGGGCAGTGGTGTGGTACCTGCAGGGTTTCCAGCGGTTAGGCTGGTGGGATCTGGACCCAGGCCTGTGCCTCTGCAGTGCTGGACCCCTACTCACAGGGGACCCCACATCAGGGTGGGCAAGAGGGAAGGGTCCCTGGCCAAAAGTGACTGCCACACAAGAATGACAATGGGAGCCATCTGTTTGAGACTTTGGGCCTTCTCAGTTGGTGACATCTGGAGTTTTGGGGTTTGGCGTCCTCTGTGTCATCTCAGTGGCCTTTTAAAGGGAGAAAGGAGAGTGACCGTGTATCAGTTCCAAGGAGGAATCCCTGTGTGCAAAAGGAACACAGCTGATGGCTGCTGAGAGGGATGGCTTGGCTCTGCCAAGGTCTCCCGTCCATTTCCCCGGCTCCCTGTGTACACACACACACACACACACACACACACACACACACACACACACAGAGGCTGCTGGGCAGCGCCATGGTCATCATGCCAGAGTGAGGGTCTCAGTTGCAAGCGTGGTCTCTGTCACTCTGCACACTCTGTTCGTCCAAAATTCCGCATCATCTCTGGCTGGGTCTGTGCAGGGGTTGGGTGGCCAGTTGGACACTTGCCCTGCGACTCAGCCCCGATGTGTGGGCAGGTGGTACAGCTTAGTCCTATGGTGACACTGCGCTCCTCTTGTGGTCACTAGGAGCCGCTTGGGAAATGACGCATGCCCTGTGGGTCAGCTGGCGTCTGTCCTCTCTGTGGACAACCTGAGGTGATGCTGAACCCTAAATATTGTAGAAATCCCAGGAGAGCCAGGATTTCCTGGGGCGGGGCTGGGGCGGGGCTGGGATGGGGTGGGGCGGAACTGGGCGGTCTCTTTTCCAGTGTCTGATCTTACTCTATGAGTGTGTGGTTCAATCACGCTGTTGTATAGGACACTGGGGAGGGCCATGGGTTGAGCTGGCAAGCCTGTCTCTTCATCTGTACTGTGGGGCTACTGTTAGGATTCTGGGTGGGCCATCCACGCAGCAGCCAGCCAGCAGGCATGAGGCGTGCAAGCTGTTTCTGGGAGCCACCTCAAGGGACAAGGGGAGGGAGGTGGCAGGAGGTGGGGCTTGCGGTATGGCTCCCAGAGGTCCAGTCACATCTGTGTCCCAGGGCAGAAGTTGCATAGCAAACCACTCCACATCTCAGATCCCCATGGCTTCCAGGGTCAGGAACTTGGGGAGGGGACGGCAGGGAGGTGGTGCTGCCCCCTGTGGAGGTGCCTGCTGGAGGCACGCATGTGTCCCGAGGGTGTCTGGTTCAGACTTTACTCCTGGGCCTAGAGGTTGGTGGAGCCAGTGGGACCCTCCCCGTCTGGTCGCAGGGTCTCCTGCTGTCCTGTCGTCCTCAGGCTGGGAGGTGAGAGGTGGAGGTTGCCATCCCTACCCCCCACCGGCCCTCCAACTGCGGTGGGTGGGAACGGCCCTTGCCTGCCCACATTCTGGGGAGGCTTACCGGGGGCTGTGTCCAAGTCTGGAACTGGGACAGCACAGTGATGACAGTCACAGCAGAGGTGACAGGAGCTGCCACCCTTGGCCTTGGTACCCCAGCAGGAATGCCTGTACCACACAGGGCTGAGTGTGAACCTACGGGCTGCCCTGTCCTGCACACCCGTGGGAAGCCACTGGCAGCTCATGCACACCGCCACCCTCTGCCTGTCTTGCCCGTGTGTGCCCACAGGTGATGAGGACCTCAGTTTTGAGGCAGAGAGTCCGCTGGCGCCCCCTGCTGAGCTCCTGGAGAGACCACCAGGCTACCACTGGCTCCCGCAAGCCAGTGAGTTCGGCAGTGAGTCTCCCTGGGCCCTTGAGCACTTCCCCCTCTGCTTGGGGTGGGGCATGTCTGCCTCAGGCTGGTTCTTATGGCAGGGGCAGGGAGGTGGGCCCTCGGCCCAGGAGCTTTTGGTGGTCCCCACGTCCTGACGTTCTAATGCATTGTCAGTATACTGCACCTGCTCCTTCCTGGAACCCGCACCCCACCCTGCTGCTTCATCCCCGCCCCTGCCCTGCACCTCCCCTAGGACAACAGGTGTTCTTCCCACCTCTGGAGACCCCAGCGAGACCCCCAGGACAGAGGTCATGGTCCTGGTTCCTGGGACACAGGTGAGGCTCCATCCTCCATCTTCTGGCACCGTCCTGGGGAGATCCAGCCCTACGCATGCGTCAGGACGCCCAGAGCCTGCATTTGGCTGAGTTCTTTAGGGATTGCCTTGGGGCCATCAGGGGCAGCAGACCCTCGCCCTGGGCCACCTGTAGACCCTGTGGGATGCTGCGAGCAGAGCATCCTTTAGCAGTGAGGTCAGGCCTGTGCCCATACAGCTGTGTATCACGGTGGCGATCGCAGAAGATTCCAGCCAACCTCCGGCCCAGATCTTGGAGAGGCTTGCCCACCTTGTGTGAAGAGGGCTTGGGGTGCCCAGTGAGGTGCAACTGCTGGGCAGCCAGGGCCTGCCGTAGAGGCGTCTCCCAGAGCACCCGCCCTCCACCCCCCTGGAGCTCCTCTGGCCAAGGTTAACTTTCCTTTGTGATGGTCCCTTGGGGCTCCATTCTTTCACTTGTAGAATGAAGTGATTCAGCTCTCAGAGGTTTTTTTTTTTCCCGTTCTGATAACCCGGAACTCCTGTCCCAGGTTCTATATTGCTGTGATCTGAAGTGCCTATGCCTTCCCTGCCCTGCACAGCTCTTGAGGGTGTGGCTATTGCCAAGCCCTCTTCCTCCCAACACAGCGGGCCCTGGCCTGGGTGAGCCTCCATGTCCTTTCCACGACCCCCCAACCCTGTCCCCAACAGGGTCCCTGTGGTGACGGAGGAGGTGGCTCGGGATGCCCTGCTGAGCTTCGTGAGCTCCAAATGCTGCTACGGCCACGCGGCCGCTGGCGACCTCATCATTCGTGAGCTGAAGCAGCAGAGCCTGTGCCGGGTGAGGGGCTGAGGGGCCTGGGGACAGTGGGGCAGGGGTGGGGTAGCACAGGTCCCCCCTACAGCTTGGTATCCAAGGGGCTGGGCTCTAGGACCCCATGGGACCCACCACCCACAGCGACTCCCACTCCGTCTGCAAGTTGGCGCTGTGCTGCATGGAACCTGTGCAGTCCTGCTGTACACTTCATGCATTTTGTTTTAACATAAACCTTTTGTTTAAGAAAAAAAATGCGTATTTGAGCAGCAGAAAGGGAGGAGAGGATCTTCCATGAACCTGTTCACTCCCTGAGTGCCCAAACGCTGGGAACCAGAAGCCAGAACTCCCAGCAGCCCCTGCTGCCCGAATCTCAAATCCCCAAGCTTGCCTCGCAGCACCTGCTGGGCCTGCATTCCTGTGTGACAACTCTGATGGCCTGTCAGGGGAAGTTTCTTGGCACACCTGGCAGGGTCCTGGCTGCCAGCTGGGATGCTGTCCCTGCCACCTGCTGCCCCCCACCTCAGTCTGCTCACAGTTCTGTCTTCCCAGGTCACAGGTGTGACCATGCTGTTTCCCCTTCTCAGTACCGACTTGAGACCTTCAGTGAATCCAGGGTGAGCGAGTGGACATTCCAGCCCTTTACCAGTGAGTGATGGGTCTGCCAGGCCTGAAGGGGACATTCAGCTCCCCAGGGCTGGGACCTTCCTACACCCCTGGGAGGGTGGGCATGCCTCTTAGATGCTTCCAGAACCAATATCATCAAATGTTTTCTACCTGGAAAGGAGCTTGCAGGGGCCTGGGAGAGCCTGGTCTTGGCCTTTGACCCTGGGCTGCTGCCTGGGTGCTTGGCGCTGTCCACCTGTCCCACCACCATAAAGCTTGGGTGCTGACCCTGGACTCCAGGGGTACTTTCTCCCATGACCCTGGCTGAGGGACCTTGCCTGATGCTGGCACTCTTTTCTGCTTGCTTCCCTCGGCTGCTCTCACCATGGTCCTTGCTTGGGCCAGGCCATGCAGTTGATGGCCCGCAGAAAGGCCCATCCCCCAGACTCTGGGACATCAAGGTCCAGGTGCCCCCAATGTTCCAGGAAGACACCAAGAAGCTACAGGTGCCCCACTCATCCCTGGTCAAGGTAGGCAACTTGGGGCATCCGTCCTTGGCTGAGTTCCTGCACCTGCTTGCTGCCTCATGCTCTGTTCTTTAGAGAGAACAGCCCTCAGCCCCCAGTGCAGGGGTCTTGGCTGTGGATACATCTGCTGCGAGAATGTGGCATGTGGGGCGCTGCCCCTGCAAAATCCCACGCTCACCAGGGGATGTGACTCCCACGAGAGGAACAACCCTTGCCACTGTCTCCAGCACAAGCGGCTGACTGAAGGCTTCTAAAACACTTCGCCTTTTCCCATTCTCCCCTGCATTTGGTGGGCAGTTGTTACATTGCATGAGACTGACACAAAATAGCAGTTATCGGTTGGGACTTTGCCTGGAAGGTGGCAGGGGCTGTGGGTGAGCACAGGCAGTGATGTCCTGCCTGTAGGACTTGACCTGTGATTGTCACACACTCTGAGCAATGCCGCTCTGCTTTGGTGATTGGCCCTGCCCCAGCCAGCCAGTAGCCCGCTGCCCCTCAAAGCTGCCGTTTCACAGGACTTCTGGTCCCTCGGGCGTAGTGGTTTAACTGGGCAGGAAACCTTAATGTGTGGGTTAGGATCCCAGGTCGCAAGGACAAGAACCCCCTTCTTTTTTCTTTTTCTTTTTAAAAACATTTATTTATCTTTATTGGGAAGATGGATCAGATTTACAGAGAGAAGGAGAGACAGAGAAAAATGCTCTACCAGCACAAGTGACTACAACAGCCAGAACTGAGCCGACCCTAAGCCAGGAGCCAGGAGCTTCTTCAGGTCTCCCACTTGGCTGTAGGGTCCCAAGGCTTTGATCATTTTCAGGAATCCCTTTCTTAGCACCCAGGGGGGCCACGCTGGAGCTGAGAGGACGTGGTGACAGTGTCCTTTGCACTGAATATTTGAAGGCATGTCTAGATCCTCCACAGGCATCCAGGGCCCCATCTCAATTCTCCCAGGCGAGCCCCAAGCTACAGCCCTTCTGCTGGAGATAGTCCTCTGTGTGTGAGAGGTGGCCCTCGGGACACCAGATCCACAGGCAGCCGTTTACTTTCAGGAATGCCACAAATGCCACGGGCGTGGGCGCTACAAGTGCAGCTGCTGCCACGGAGCTGGTCTGGTTAGTGACAATGGGGGAGGGCAAGTGACAGTGTGTGGGGGAGGGTGAGTGACAGTGTGGGGGAGGGTGAGTGACAGTGTGGGGGAGGGTGAGTGAGGTTGTGCAGGATGCCCACAGTGTACAGTGTACAGAGTACAGTGGGCATGCGTTTGGATGCTGAGCTGGGGCTGGGGCTCCTGCACTCACTCTGTCCCCTCAGGCCGTGTCCTTCCTGGCCTCTATCTACCCGTCAGTGAAGTGGAGCGGTTGGCCCGCGTGGTCTCTACAGAGTTGGCTTTTCCCTTTGCTCTCCTTTTCTCCTGAGTCTGCCCTGGTTCAGAGTGAGGCCTGGGCTCTTCTCCCTGACCTCCTGTCTAAGGGTGGCGTGGGGGGGCTCAGGTGAGGAGGTGCGGGGGAAGGGGCTTGCCTTGGCTTCCTAGTCAGACTCAGGAACCCCACGTGGCAGGGCTTTGGCCGGGTTTGCCTGGGTGCTTGCTCTCCTCCTTGGGGCAACAGTGTCCCTGCAGGGGACACAGTGATGGGGTGTGCTCAGGGGAGGGCTTGGAGCTTTGTCTGGAGAGGCCTCCCTGTGCCCGCAGGTCCGATGCCCGGCCTGCTGCGGAAGCAAGCGCAGAGCCCGGCAGCCGGCGCGGAGGTGTCCGCGGTGTTCAGGCACTGGCCGCCGCAGGTAAGAGCTGCTGTCCTTGCCTGCTGGCTGCTCCTCACAGCTGCCCAGCCTCACCCCTGCTGCGTCCTTGGAGTCAAGACTGGGACTCATGTGTGGATGGAGGCACTGCCGGGAGGGGGTGGGATTCCCAGGAGACCCCTCTTCCTGCCATGTGGTGGGGGCAATGTCGGAGGCCCCAGCAAGGTGACAAAGTTAACTCTGTAAAAGCAGGTCCTGCAAAAGCCAGGGTTGATGGCTGCTGGGGCCTGAACGGAGAAGTCGGAGCAGGTTGATTGGCTGTGCAACCACAGACCTTCCACCTCTGCCCGCGGAGCTTTGCCTGCAGTGTGTGATTTTGTGTTTTGTGAATCACATGTTGATAAAGTGTCAGAGGGAGGCTGCGAGCAGGGGCCCCACGCAGGCTCACCACGGCCCAGGCCCCGCCCTCCTGACAAGCCGGGGCTCCTACACCTTGGGAGAGGAGGAGGTACCGGGAGAGGGCTCAGTGCAAACTGGCTTTGACTAAAGTCAAGAGACGTCAAGAGGCTCCGGTGACTGGAAACCCTGGGCTGAGTTCCCAGGATGGCTTCAGGCCCAGGGGGATCCAGGTGCTTGGGAACCTGTCCCCATGCCACTTCCTTTCCTTGGCACTGGCTTCATTCCTGGGCAGGCTGTGCCCTGCCACCAGAAGCTCCAGGCTTAGTGCTCCCTGGGCTGGGAGCCCCTCTTAGCATGAGCCAAGTGTGCCAGGCAGAGGCCTGGGCTGAGCTGGGCAGAGAACCCAAGATCCTTGTGAAGACGGGTTTGGGGGTATCGCTTCTGGAACTACTTCAGGGGATATTCCCCCACCCCCAACAGATGCAGCACGTGCTCGGGGAGTGGCAGCAAGACCTGTGCCACCTGCAAGGGGGAGAGGAAGCTGCTACACTCCATCCAGCTCGTCATTGCATGGTGTGTGGTCACTCAGCCTGGGGGCCTGTGGGAGGGAGGCCTGAGCTGCTGGGGGCCCGACCGGGGCTCCCCAGGAGGGTGTGGGTGGCTGCAGAAGGCCAGGCCTGAGCTCCTGACCCCTACTGCTGCTTTCCCTGCCACCTGAGACCAGAGCTAGCACGTGCCTTCCCCAGACCCAGGCAGTAGCCGATTGCTAAGGCGTTAGGGTCACGCCGAGTGCCTCTGGGCAGCAGTGAAAGGTGGCGAGGGCCTGAGCCAACAGCACCTTCACTCCCATTGGGCAGATGTGGAAACTGAGGCTCAGCAGCCACCCCTGCCCCTCAAGCCCACGTTCCTAACCCTGCGCCCTTTGGCACCCGTCCCCGCTCCCGTCCAGGAAGAACAGCCTGTTTGAGTTCGTGTCCCAGCCCCGGCTCAGCTGCCCCAGGGAGCTCCTGGCAAAAGCCAAGGGGGAAAGCCTCTTCAAGGACGAGGACGTGATGGTGAGGGGGCGGCACCACGGGAGCCCAGTCTGCAGTGGGCGCGGAATGCACCTGACAGGATAGGTACAGGGCAGGAGCAGGGGGCTGTGGAGGCGGGGCTGCAAGGACGGCCCACCTCCCCCAGGCCTCTGTCCCTTCTGCACAGCTGGAGACCCCCTCCTTCCCACTGTGGGGCCATGGGCAGACACACCAAAGCGCCCCCTGCTGTAAGTGGGAGGACTCCGTGAGCAAGGCAGCTGTTGGGAAGCACAGGGAGAAGGAAGGAGCAGGTTGTGGCTCCAGCCGAGCAGGGCAGGCCTCTCTGCACATGCCACGCTGACCAGCATCCATGGGCGCTGAGGAGTGGGTCAGGGGCCTTGAGCCAGATGAGTCACCGAGGCTTGCCCTGTGTCTCTGGCTGAGGTCAGCTGCAGGCCCTCCCAGGCTTTGGGGGCCTTCCCTGGCTCCCACACAACCTCTCTCTCACAGGTGTACCCCATTGTCGACTTCCCCGTGCCTGAGATTGCCCGGGCCTCCCAGAGAGGCATTGCAGAGCACAGCGCTGCCCTGGGCTCCCGGGCCCGGATCCTGCAGCAGGTGAATGGGGGCTGGGATGGGGCGGCAGGCAGTGGCCTGGCTGGTGGGAAAGGGTGGACCTGTCTCAGGGAGGTAGCTCCTTCCTGCAAAAGGGGAAAGCGGCCAGTGGGAGGAGCGTGTAGTGCTGAGGTGGACTGGGCAGTGTGGTCAGAGGGACAGGGCAGGGCCATGTGAGGTCACAGAAACCAACAAGAGGGACACTGTCCCCACCTCCCCAAGGCTGGGATCATGGTGAAGGACCAGGATGCACTGCTGGGCTGGGGGGATTTGGGTTCTAAATTTCAGATACTCAGATTTGGGGGTGTGGAAAGCTCTAGATCAAAGCCATAGGTCACGTCGGCCAGTGTCCTGCTCAGGCGGGTGTCCTGTCTCAGGTCCCACTGGGGAGGGCCTGGGTCAGAGCTGCCTCGGCTGCTGTGTGCTGTTGGCCACCAGGTGGCGGTGGTGCAACTCCAAGCCTGAACCGGAGCCTGTGTTGTGGGGGGGTTGGGTACTGACTATGGGATCTGGACCTGGGTCTCCTTGCGCTAGAGCCTGGCACCATGGACTCCGGGTGATCCCAGGCTGGCCTGCTCTGTCCGCTGCAGGTCGCCTCAGGGTGACCGAGGGCCCTCGGGAAGGTGTGCATTGGGAGGCTGTGTGCAGCACGTGCGCCCCTCTGCCTCTGTTGTTAACCACGAACACGTCCTGTTTTTCCTCCCCTCCCCACCCCACAGCTCCCCTATTTTCAGGAGAGTGGAGGTGCACTTAATGTAGAACCAATCAAGACCATCTGAGAATTGTTGGGGGGTTTGGGGACCGTGGTCAGGCCCTACAAATCCCCCAGGGCCTACTTTCTCCAGTTTTAGCATGAAACACTTCTAATTTTTCTTTTTAAAGATGATTTGTCGAGCAGAGCAATGGAGTGACAGGGAGGGGGAGGTGGAGAGAGAGGGAGGTGATCTTTCATCTGCTGCTTTGCTCTCCAAATGACTCACTGTGCCAGGCCTAAGTCAGGAGTCTGTAGTTCCATCCGGGTCTCCCGCACGGGTGGCAGGGGCCCAGGCGCTTGCGACGTGCTCTGCTGTCCTCCGGGTGCGTCAGCGCAAAGCTGGATCGCAAATGAAACAGCCTGGATTTAAACTCCGGGGCTGAGGCTCTTCCCTGGGGATAGGGCCTTGTCTTGAGTTGCATTCCGCAGGAGCAGAGTCTGGGGCAGGGGTGGCCTGGGTCCACTGGCTGAGGAAGAAACCAGAGGAAGGGTAGAAAAGGGGGCTATGGGTGCAGCGCCCCGGGGCACAGTTGACCTTGGCCGTGGGTAGCAAGCACTGCCTCTCCAGAGCAGGAGCAGCTGGGCGCCTAGCAGCCGGGGAATGCAGTGCTGAGGGCAGCCAGAGTGACCAGTACTGAGGCACCTGTCGGGGCAGGAGGGGATGGCTCAGAAACACGGGGAGGGGAGCGTCTGCAGACACTCCTGGGGCTCTCAGGGGGACAGGCTCACTTTTTTTTTTTTTTTAAAGATTCATTTATTTAGTTGAAAGGCAAAGTTACAGAGAGAGGGAGAGACAGAAAGCAAGGGAGATCTTCCATCTGCTTGTTCACTTCCCAGTGGCTGTGACTGAGCTAAGGTAAAGTCAGAAATTTCATCCGGGCCTCCCACTCAGGTGACAGGGGCCCAAGTGCTCGGGCCATCTTCCGTGGCTCTCCTGGCTGTATTAGCAAGGATCTGGGTTGGAATTCCACAGCCATGCCAGCCCTGTGCCAGCAAAGCCTGGGCTGGGACACATACATAGCTCTGTCCATAGGGAAGGAGGCCCAGCCATGAGTCCTCATCTCAGGCAGCTCCAGGTCGTGCAGTGACTGGGTCTCACTGGCCACTGTGGGTTGAGGCTGACATGGGCACGGTGAGTGCTCAAGATCTGAAGCTCCTGGAGCTTGCAGGACCAGTCTGCATGTGCAAAGGGATGGGGACACGCAGGAAAGGCCACCCCAGCCTGGTGACGTGCTGGCTGTGCCAGTGTCTGCAGCAGCAGCCGGAGGAGGCCAGTGAACTTGAGATGGCTTCGCAGGCCACTTGCTAGCGTCTTCCCATGGTTGTTTTCCTGTAAAGGACTTGTGTCTGAGCCTCTTCTGGAGAGATCTAGGGCCAGCGTGGCTCACGAGGAGATGCCAGGTGATTTTAGGGTGCAAGGAACGGGATGAGAACTGGGAACTGAGCCGTGCAGAGCCTTGAACGCCAGCCCAGCCATGGAGGACACACGCTACCCCACAGGGCAGCAGGGAGCTCTGGGAGCTTCTTGAGCAGGTGAGTGATGGCGTGTGCAGACCGCTGACACTCTGGCCACGTGTCTCCTCAGCGCCAGACCATCGAGCTGGTCCCCCTCACGGAGGTGCACTACTGGTACCAAGGGAAGGATGGCGTCTACTACATCTGCGGCACCGACCACCAGGTGCACGTGGAGGACTACCCTCAGCGGCACTGCTGCGGCTGCACCATCCTCTGACGGACAGCCTGCCAGGGGGACCGCTGGGCTCCACCATCCTCTGACGGACAGCCTGCCAGGGGGGCCCTGGGCTCCACCATCCTCTGACGGACCGCCTGCCGGGGGGGCCCTGGGCTCCACCATCCTCTGACGGACAGCCTGCCAGGGGGCCCTGGGCTCCACCATCCTCTGACGGACAGCCTGCCAGGGGGGCCCTGGGCTCCACCATCCTCTGACGGACAGCCTGCCAGGGGGGCCCTGGGCTCCACCATCCTCTGACGGACAGCCTGCCAGGGGGACCGCTGGGCTCCACCATCCTCTGACGGACAGCCTGCCGGGGGGCCCTGGGCTCCACCATCCTCTGACGGACAGCCTGCCAGGGGGGCCCTGGGCTGTACCATCCTCTGACGGACAGCCTGCCAGGGGGGCCCTGGGCTCCACCATCCTCTGACGGACAGCCTGCCAGGGGGACCGCTGGGCTCCACCATCCTCTGATGGACAGCCTGCCAGGGGGACCGCTGGGCTCCACCATCCTCTGACGGACAGCCTGCCAGGGGGACCCTGGGCTCCACCATCCTCTGACGGACAGCCTGCCGGGGGGCCCTGGGCTCCACCATCCTCTGATGGACAGCCTGCCAGGGGGACCGCTGGGCTCCACCATCCTCTGACGGACAGCCTGCCAGGGGGACCCTGGGCTCCACCATCCTCTGATGGACAGCCTGCCAGGGGGACCGCTGGGCTCCACCATCCTCTGATGGACAGCCTGCCAGGGGGGGCCCTGGGCTCCACCATCCTCTGATGGACAGCCTGCCAGGGGGGCCCTGGGCTCCACCATCCTCTGATGGACAGCCTGCCAGGGGGGGCCCTGGGCTCCACCATCCTCTGACGGACAGCCTGCCAGGGGGGCCCTGGGCTCCACCATCCTCTGACGGACAGCCTGCCAGGGGGCCCTGGGCTCCACCATCCTCTGATGGACAGCTGGCCAGGGGGGCCCCTGGGCTGTACCATCCTCTGACGGACAGCCTGCCAGGGGGGCCCCTGGGCTCCACCATCCTCTGATGGACAGCCGGCCAGCGGGACCCCTGGGCTCCACAGGCCTGCCTATGCTTTCATGTACCATGGCTCGGCGGCCATCGGTGATTGGCTGGGACACTTGCTGCGCCCACACAGGCTGGCCCACCCCTCCGTAAGTGTGGCTGGCAGCAATCGACACTCAGGTCCCTGAACTTGAGCAGCTCTTGAATTGTTCCTGCAGGATGCACTGGAGCCTGAACATGGCACCTTGGCTCTGGCCCTGAGCTGATGCCCGCACAGAGCCTGGCTCTGGGCCCAGAGCCAATGCCCGTACAGAGCCTGCAGCTCCAGTTTGCTTCTGCTTGGCTTGGTCTGTGCTGCTCCTCCCATGAGCATGATTTTCAAGTTTCAAGATGCCCCCGGATTTTCTACCCCTGGTGATCCACAAAGCATGCGTGTGGGCATAGAATGTTCACTTCCTGTCCCCTGCCCATGGGTTTGGAATTCAGCTTTGCCTGAGATGGATGAGATCTGTTTTGTGGGGCAGCGTCGAAGGGTGGCAGAGGGGAGGGGGCTCATCTGGTAGCGTCCAAGGCGGAATGGCTCCAGGGTGGGAGCTGAAGTTCCCTGAAGGTTGTGGCTCCCAGAGCTGAGACCCCTGGGGTGATTGGGGGGTATGGAGTCACCTGCCTCCACTTCCTGGTGATGTGGCTGTGCTGACGGTGCCCACGTATCCGTTGGCTGGTCCTGAGCATGGTGCCTGCCTGTGGGAGGGATCTGAGAGGGGGAGGTGGGAAGGATGTGAGTTCCAGCAGGTGCACTGGGCTCTGAGCTCATTCACTAAGCCAGCTGTGACCCAGATGTGCTGTGCACTTGCTCATGTGCCGATGTGGTCCAGATGGCTACCACTTTGCTTGAGTTTGGCTGAACCCTGCAAGGGGTGTTTGGCTAGCAGCTGATGGCCCTGGCAGGTGAGGGTGGCAGGGGCTTGGGACCCTCCTCCCTGAGGACCACGCAGAACCCAGGGGCTCTTGATGGAGAAGCAAATGGACGAGAACCCAGGGACTGTGGGCTCCAGCAGCGACTTCTAGCAGTTCCACAGGCTCTTGGGGGTGGGGTGTGGCCAGGCAGGAGTGCCCTGGGACCTGGGTGGTGGCTAGCCTTGGGGGACAGCCTGGTCTGTGCTGGTGCACTACCAAGGGAAGGCTGACGGGTATTACATCTGTGGCACCGACCACAGGTGTACGTGGGGGATTGCCCCCGTGCTCACTCACTCACTGGTGGCAGAACTAAGAGGGACGGTCCCTTAGGGAAGATCCCTACTCATGTTGCCTGAAGCTCCATCATGATGAGGGCTGCAGGCCAGCACAGTCACCACAGCCAGCCTTCCGGGTCCTCAGAGTGCTTCTGCCCACTGGGGCATGGAGCCAAAGGCAGGGCCATCTTGGGATTGTTTCAGCGACTGGCAGTGGGGCAGTTGGCACTTGGTGGATGGGGCCCAGGGATGTTGGACATCCGAAGGCATGCATTGCCAGGGACAGCTGTGCAGGGGTCGTGAGGTTGCTGGCAGAGTCTCCCTGATGGTTGGTGTGATGTGGTGGCTGTTCAGTGTCCACCCTGTCCTAACTGTCCCCATACATCTTCTTAGTGATAACTTCTCTCGTCTTATGTCTCCCATACCTACTGTGTGGGTAACCTCACAGCTCTCCTGGCTTGTGCCTGAGTATCCACAGATCAAAATACGTGTGACTTGGCTGTCTTCTCGTCTCCCCCTTGTCCTTCCGTCTGACATTCAGGTGCTTTTGTGAAAGCAGAGCATGTGGGTGAGCTCTGTGACCATCAGGTTTTGGGATGGACAGCGGGTGCCGAGGCTGCTGGGGCCGAGACCCAGTGTTTTAGACAGGGAGTTGTCGGCTGGAATGGGGTGGGTGCTGCAGCTGGACAGAAGGGAGAGGACATGCTGGTAGTCCCCCAGCTGTAGGGACACTCTGTCCTGGTGGCTGTGGCACATGTCCTTCTGCCATGGCCAGCTTGGCTCCTCTGCCCTTTCTTACTTGCCCGCCTCACTGTGACTGTGCAGTCTCAGAGCCAGCCGAAGCCACTGGGGCAGAGAGGAGGCCTCGGGACGCCTTGACCCTCAATGCTGGCCACCATGGTCTTTGGCTGTGGGCTGGCTCAGTTTGAGCTCATGAAAGGTGATGCTGATATGGACACTACCAACCCTACCAGTTGATGATCACGGTCCCCGGGGTTGCTTGGGGTAGCCAGTGCCACGCTGGGCAGTGCGAGGGCTCTGCAGAGCAGGGAAGGCTGCACAGATGGGATAAGTGAGCGCTCGGGTACAAGATGAGGCCACATCAGATCACAGGGGTTTGGAGTGTGTGTGTGTGTGTGTGTGTGTGTGAGTGAGTGATGGTTGCCAGGAGCATGAAGTCGACTTCAGCAGAAACGCCGTGAGGAATGCCGAGGTCTGCCAGCCGCAAGTGCAGCTGGATCTGGGCTGAGATTTCCCTCCAGGCCCCTGTCCCTCTGCCCTGATTTTTCTCTGTGCTTTGCTCCATTTTGAGCTTGTCCATAGGCAGGCTTCCCTCTCCCTGTCCTGCTCCCCACGGTGGCCAACCTCCAGCAGACCTGTGCACAGAGACATCACCTGTCCACTGCAGGGACAGACAGGACATGCTAGGTGTCCAGATGGTGTTCTGGAACCTTCTGTGTGTTGCCCAAGGTGAAGTCTCATAGTTTGGGCACGAGGGGAGGTTGGGCCCAAGTCTTCTCTTTCCCTTCTGAGTTTCGGAGGTGGACGAGGGGGTCAGGGCTGCACAGCTGGTCATAGGGCCTTGCCTGATGGCCGCTGGGCTCTGCAGTCCCTCTGTGCTCTGGCAGGGAGCCTTCCTTGGGGTCGCCCTTGCCCACCTTCAGTGCCTGCATCACTGCCTGGTGATGCCTGTCACACATGTCTGCTTTTCCACACCTGCACACCTCAGGCCAGAAACTGTAGGCTCGTCACTGCTTCCTGTAGACCATTAACAAACGCCACCAAGTGTGACGTAGTGGGTGTGTGGGCAGGGTGTTGGCTGATCCCAGGGATGTTTTAGGGCTCACACAATACTCTGAACGAGGAAGCATGTTGCAAGCACACTCACACATGTGTGTACAAAGCTTGACAAAGTGTATTGTATTTATACACTGCCTCCTGTTGCCTCTGCTGCTGCCCACCAGGGGGCAGCAGGTGCACACATAAACCAGCCCCTCCCGGCAGCAGCAGGTGCATCTACGCTGGTAAACTTTGGGCCACCTCTAAGTTCCCTTTTTTCCTCCTCAGCAGGCCTGGATCCAGGAAACTTGGGGAAATGGAGATGGCTCCAGAGACCTACTCCACTGGGCTGGAGAAGCCAGCAGGGAGTGGGCATACTGGGTCCACATCTTGTATCTGTACTCACTCATGTAACAACCTTGAGTGGAACCTCTGCTCTGGGCCGGGCACTGGAGGAGCCTCGTGAGGCAGGCACTGGTCTTGCTGTGTGGATGCCTGCATTTTATTAGCAAAAGTGCACATTTCCGGATCCTTCCCAGGGGAGGCCTCCTCCGTGACCCCTGATCGGTGTCTTGTGAGGTCAGTGACGTTACTGCCCCCGCTTGATGGGAGAGGGGGGCTGGAGCCAGGAGGACTACTGTGGCAAGCTACATGTGCTCAGCTCCAGGACTGGGATCTGGGCTGCTGAGGATGTAGGTGCCTGGCTAAGACTCTCCATCTGCACTGAGTCCAGTCTGGGGCTGGCAGGCAGAGCAGTCACCAGCCCACCTCACCCAGGCGGGCTGCAGAGGGAGACAAGCTGTGGATGGACGCTGCAAGCCACGAGGACACTCTGCAGATATTCAGGCTGCGAGTTCTTCACTGGAATGCGAGGATGGGGACAGATGGGCAGCCATGGTGCCATGGTGGGGTGTGTGGGCAGTGGGTCCCCGGGCAGGAGTTGAGGCCCTTTGGCCGAGCAGGCAGGAGTCCA